CTCACGCATTGGAAAAGACCCTGAATTTGGGAAAGATTGAAGGCAGGAGGAGAAAGGGGCCACAGAGGTTGAGATAGTTGGATAGCATCTCTGACCCAATGGATGTGAATTTGAGAAAACTCTGGGAGATAATGGAGGACAAGAAAGCTGGCATGTTGCAGTCCATGGGATTGCAAAGAGTCAGACACAACTTAATGACTGAACAACAACAAAAACTTAACACAAAGAAGAGATTGCCAGATGAGAAGGTCTAACCCCGTTAGGTAGTGAGTTCCAGGTCCATAGAAGCATTCAACTAGGGGTTAACCCATGGCTCCAGTCAGTGTCTTCTGAGTGCAGAATAACCTTCCCAATTTTGCCTCCATAACAACACAATTAGCCTTTAATTAGTCTAGTCCCCTTAGGAATAACAGGAAGGGACACAGTGGGACCAGAGCTCTGAGCATCATGAGTCATTTGTCTGCTTTCTACAGTATCACATGCCTAGGATTTTGTTAGCTGGTTATCCGTGAATAAGGTAACACGTGAGTTACCTTACCGGTTTCTGCTGTCTGGCAAGAAAGGAAACTCCCAGGTTTGGGGCAGGGCTGGGGTGCGGGGTCTGCCCTACCCTCCTCACCTGAGACAAAGGAACCCCAGGGCTGTAAGAGCAGAGGCATTACTTCTGACAGTTGTGGGACTTCCCTGGTGGTCCAGAGGTTAAGAATTCACCTTTTAATGCACGGAGTGTGGGTTCCATTCCTGGTCGGGGAACTAAGATTCCCCATGTCGTGCACTGTGACCAGAATTTTAAAACAAACAAACAAAAAAAGGCAGTCACTTTCTTGATTTCTTTTTCCCCCTCATTAAAAAGTGATCCGCATCCACGTCATCAGGAACATTAGCAGAAGACACAGACGGAAGAGGAGCACGAACTCCTGACCTCCCTGATCCTCTCCCAGGCTCCGTGAATGCGGGTGGGCACAGGAGAACCTCTGAAAGGGCAGAAAATCTCAGGGCAGCAGAACCAACTTCTGAAAACAGTGGAATATTGGCAGCCTGGATTGAAATACTTCTGGAAAGTCATTTGTTGGTTTGGGAAGAGTTCCAGGAGCCAGAGCCAACTAGATCAGGTAGAAAAAGATGGCTAAGAGCATGCATGCCTCTTTCCATCAAGCAAATATTTACTGAGCATTGCTCACTCCAGGGCCTTCAACACTCAGAGAACAGAGAGGCAATTCACTTGCCTTAGCAGGACTTATGGACAGTGAGCAGAGTGAATGGTGAAATACAGAGCGTGTTGGATGCTGCATGAGAAGCTGTGCGTCCATGGAAAGGAATGCCAAGTGGCTACGCTATGCCTGCCACTGGGACATCCTTACAGAGGTCACCGTGTTACCTTATTCACGGATAAAGAGCTGATGGAGTGACAGCCTGGTGGAGTCCAGTGAAGGGTGGTGGGGATGACATATGCCCAGCACACAGTGGGTGCTCACACACTCAGCTGGTTTTTACCCCCTTGCAGGGACAGTCATCTCACCCACTTTCTGTCCCTGCCACAAAGACACATGTGCACACACATAGGTGACACATTTTACTCAGAATAATCATAAATATAACAAAGCATGGTGTTTTCTCAGCAGCAGAGAGGGGCGCACCCTCTGACAACCAAGTTTGCTCATTCTGCACCTGTGGATACATCTGGTGGGTCCTTCACTGTCTCCCAGAGTTTGCTCATGAATTTGTACAAACTCTGGGAGACAGTGAAGGACAGAGGAGTCTGGCATGCTGCAGTCCATGGAGTCATAGAGTTGGACGTGATTTAGCAGCAGAACAACAACAACCGGCAGACCTTTCTAAATACATTGGGCCTTTCCATCTTGGCTACAGGAGACAGACCCCCTTATGTCATTCCAAAGCTTCAGGAGGGGCTGACCTGTCTCAGGGTCCCTGTATTGGGGGGCATCTCCCCAATATTCTGAAGATGCTGACCCATGTGCAAACTGGCTGGTGTGGGCTGAGGACACAGTGGAGGTATACACAATGGTCCCTTTTGACCACTGTGTTTTGACCATCATAATTCAGATGAGGTTGTTTTTTAATTATCCAGTTAGTGCTTCCTTGTCGCCAGGAAGTGCACGTCTGACTCCAGAGTTGACTTAGGGATGTAACACACAGAAATGCATTATTGTGCTCCCTTGAGCACCCACCTCCAGATGCCCGTGTTTCCAGAGATTCCGCTTCACCGAGCTTTCCTGGCAACCCATCATTTCTCGGATCCCACAGGCTCCCCAGAGGAGCCCTTGCAGGTCGCTGTTTAAATGAGGAGAAAATTGGTTATAAATCAACTTAATTTTCAGAGATATTAATCCAAGGAGAACCCAATTTTGTGTGAGACGGTGGCTCCATTAGAAAGTTACCTGAATGCATAAGGAAAAAAAAAAGCATAAATGTATCTCTTAAGTTGAAGTCAGAGAAACATTTTAAATTGTGCCATGATTACATGTTCCTAAATGTTTCTCCACATTCACTCCCTTCTTGATTTCCTTCATATTGTCAGTTTGTCATAACGAGGAAATACCGCAAGCAGGAGGAAAATGGCAGAAGCCGTGTTTACGTGTTGTCAGAAGCTCAGAGCATCTCTGACCCTCGGCTCTTAACTTCCATCCACTGGGTGGAGACTCTCATTCCCCAGGGTGGGACTGAGGGCTCTGGGCAGAGGATGTGCTATGAGTCTCTTCACTCTGTGGGTCATTTTAGTGTGTTCTCTAGACTCTGACTCCATCTGGGGGCTAGTGGAGAGATACTGGCCACTCTGGTTCCTCCTCCAGGGGCAGTAGGGGGACCTGGAGGCCACCCTTGGATGGATGGATGGATGGACGAACAGCCCTGTCCCCAGGGTGGGGGATGGGAAGATGGCCCCTGAGCCTGGAAACCACATAAGTGGGAAAGTGAGAAGCGCGTCTGGGAAATGATCAGTGAACCAAGGTTTTATTTGAGTTTGAAACCTGTTCTTTATGCATATGGATTTCCAAGATGTGATCTGGTACCCTGGGGCCAAAGAAGGTGTCTGCTTTGAGCTCTTCACAGCTGCTCTTCAGCTTGTTGCTAATCTCTGGATTGTGGTACTGCATTTGCAGTGTTTTATGTACTTATATAAATATGACATTTTCTAATTAAAAAAGAAACTCACATTTGTATGTACATTTGGGAAAATATAGGAAATTATTAAGAAGAAAATTGAAGTCTCCAGTCATCCTAGCATTCCTGTTTGCCTCCTTTCAATGTCTCCTGCCAGTGTTTGGGTTATAGGTGTGTGTGTGTGTGTGTGTGTGTGTGTGTGTGTACAATGCAAGACTTAACCGATCTTTTATTCACAAATCTGTCTCTTGCTTTTCCCCTTCTGTTCATATAAAAGCATAAGCATTTTCCATATTCTCAAAATATTTTCTGAGGATGAATTGGTGAATTGTGTCATATTTCATCATGTGGCCGTTGCATCATTTTTTTTTTTTTTTTTACAACTGGTCTCTTCTTGTAGGTCATTTCAGCTGTGTGAAATTTTTCATTAATTTTGTTGCAATGCCCATCCTTGTACCTAAGGCTCTGGCTATGTCCTTTCAGTAAATCAATGATGTTTCTAATGGAGTGATACTGACTGTCACTCTGGTCTCAGAGACTGGACACTGGGAAACGTGATTATGCCCAGCTTAGACAGATCCTGACCCTCCCTTTAAGTGGGGGCTCCCTGCCAGCTGGGGGTTGAGCCCATGCTGAGCCCACAAATGAGGCTGGTTAGAAAGAAGGGGTTTGTAAATGGCTTACGCTGCCTTTGGTTCCAGACGGTCACAACAGGATAGATGTGGTGCTGGCTTCCAGATGAATAGGAGCTTTTTCAGAGATGTGAAAAGAGAGAGAGAGAGCAGGTTAGGAGTGGCACGTCAATTTCTGACTGAAAGGAAAAAAATTGATCCAAAGTAAAACTCTCATCATTCCAAATATCAGTGTTTTCTTCTCCAGTTTCGTGCTGTGTCCAGCTGATTAGACTTGGAGGGGTTTCCGGACAATCACAGCAGAGTCACTCAAAGTCCACTAGGAGGACGGAGCCTCTCAGAGTGGTCCCCGAGCAAGCCCAGCTCCGGGCCAGGGGCTCCACCTGCCGGAGGAACCACTTGGGGTCAGATGAGGCAAATACTTGGCAGAACATGACCCCAGAGCTCTCGGGCAGAGGATCTTGGTAGAACTGGTGTCTCTTTCTGGAGGGTTGTTTAAATGATGCTTCTCCAGGACCAGATGGGCTGATGAGAAGTGGTTGATGTCATGAGGACCCATCCCTCTGTTTGGGGTCCATTGCAAGTGGCTCAGAATAAAGTTGAGCTTAGGATCAGGACTGAAGGAAATGTTAGGGTATCTAAGAATCTGAAGATGCCAGAGTCCCACGGGGGACCGTAACCAGGGGACGGTCCTGAGGGAACCTGGGGTCTCCGCCTCTCCTTCCTGTTCCCTGCTGCTTTTTCTGCTTCTCTGAGTGTGTGGCGCTGAACGTGGCTTCCTTAGCATTCTCTTCTCTACCCGCCATTGTGCTGAGCTGCTGGCAGGCCCGGACAGATCTCTTTCTGCCTCAGTGATGTGTCCCACAGAGGGACCGCTGACGGGCTCTGTCTGGGCGGGTGACCACTTGTGCTTCTGTTCCTGTGGCCAGAACTGTAGGGCTGACTCCTCCAGCTCCGCTAATCTCTTCGGACCTTTCTACCCCCAAGGTCTGGATGGCATGATGCCAGGAGTCTCCAAGGAACCTAAGATGTGCTGACCTCGACTGACCACTAGTACCCATGTCCACTCTTCTCAAATGTCTACAGCAAGAGTGGAAGGTGCAAATGCAGGCAGTCCTAGGGTTTCCAAACCACCAGGACTGATCTGAGGGTTGGCAGCCAATTCCTTACAGCTCCAATTGAGACAGCGCTGCTCCTGTTCCGACTGAGCCTAAAATATTGTCCCCCAGCCCCTCTCCCCCTCTCTAACTTTGTCCCTCCACTTGCAGCAGCCCGTTTGAACATGTCGGCACATAGGGATGTTGGTTACACAAAAGGTATCATTAAGTGCGATTGAAAATCAAACTGCTATTTCATTAATGGACCCATTATCAGGAAATACAGTGGTATTTGAATACCTGCCTGTGGTTACTATAGATACACCTCTCCTTGGGTTGCACTTCAAACAAATCGTTGGCGTAGCATTTCCAAGCTTTGTGCACCCGTGAGTGTTCTTTGATAGACGTAATTATCCCAGGCATGCTAGATGATCTTTATTTGAATGCTTCGAATTGATGAAAAATGCTGCAAATGCAGATTGTCGAAGGAAAAAAAGAACAGTGTAATTCATATCCTATCAGGTATTATTATTCCTTAAAAAAATGAAAATCAACGGGTCCATTACCTGCTCCTAGTTCTTATTTGGAATGAGCTGCAGGGAGATGACCATGCTCCACTCCCCACAGAAATTCTGGGAGCCACGACACCCAGAGATGGATGCCCAGTGACCCGGGTGCAGCCATAATCATGCTGGCACCTAACATGGCTGAGCTGCTAGCCTCTCTTCCCTAAAAGGTTCTTGACTCCTGGGAACATGTGAGATGGGAAACAAGATGCCCAAAGACAGAGAAGCTCCAGCTGAGCAGAGTTGGATGCATGGAAAGTATGGGTGGGAAAATGACTTCTTAATGTTCTGTCTTTCCAAGTCTGCAGAGAATAAGAGAATTAGAGCGCAGCCCAGAAGGGCAGCTGATGAGGTCCCCGAAGCGATGGGGCCGGGGGAGTCGTCAGCGTTCTCTGGGCCCGGAGTCTGCCCCTGACCGAACCGTGTGGCTCAGAACCCCGTATGGATGTGGCTTTCGCTCTGTTGGATTTTTACAGTCATGACACCTGGTTCATGAAGGAGCTGGTTCCTTGGCTCAGGTGCGTCTCCAGAGGTGACAGGTGGTTCTAATGGGAGGTGCGAGGAACCCACCCAGTCCACCAGAGCAACTTCTGACGCGGGCTAACAGAGCAGTGAGGCCAAAGGTGTGCTGTCCGACTCCCTCACACCCACTGGGGAGCACAGAGGATGCCACGGGCCTTGTCATGTGGATGGCAGAGGTGTTCACACCACAGCGATCGGCGGTAGGAAAAGAACACCGCAATGTGACTGCTGTGACATGTGGGCTGCTGGCATTTCACAGGGATTGCCTGAGAGATGGTGAAACCGGTGAGGATGGGGATGTCTTTTGTTTCCTATAAGCCAGTTAAAGGACCGTTTCATGCAGCTTGCAAACAACTAGTATACAGCGTGTCTGGTCAAAGCATTTCAAGGGAACTCATCAGGATAGTTCTCTAACAGAGCATAGGGAGGGGTAGTGGAGAGTCTATTTAGGCTGTGTCGCAGGATGAAGGGTAGTTTGAACTTCTGCAGCAGAGCATGGAGAAAGGAGGTGATGTGATGTTCAGAGCAGAGTCTCTGGCTGGATTTCCAGTGACTCCAACCATCTCTTTAAACATAAAACTGGTGTCTGGGAGGTGCGTTTGGCTGAGACCTAGCAGGTGGTTTCGGGAGTCAAGAACATGCAGGGAAGATGGGTTAGCAGCTGAGCCTCAGCATCCAATGACTGTTTTTAGGGATGCCTCCCTGCCTCTTCTCATGATGTCTGCGGTGTCCTCCTCTCAGGGAACAGCGTAGGGCCTGAGAAGACAGGTGTGTTTGGTTTTCCTGATGTTACAGTCCAACCTATTACCTGCATGGGCTGGTCTGATCTCTCATTTCCCAAACTGCGCTGGGCTCTTTAAAATGGCTAAGCCCGTGTATCCCCAACTCTGTCAACAGCACTGCAGCTGGAGTTGATCAGTTCCCTCCTGCCTACTACCTCTCTGCAGCCCAAAACCCCTACCTGTTCACCCCCAGGCTGCTGCCAAACTGTTCCTCAGGCCTCCTTGATGCCACCCTGCCCTTCAGACCATGGGCAGACGGTTCCTTCAAAGCATGAACTTGGGTACTGTCACTCCCTTTCCTGAACTCCTCCGGGGGTCCCCTGGTGGTCACAGGCATCTCTCATTGCCTGGCCTGGGTAGCCCCTCTCTCCCTGGCGTCACCTTCTTTCTCTCCCCTCTCAACCTTGGTCCTGGGGGCGGGTCCTGACATTTCCATCTTCATACGCCTCCTGGTCTCTTCAATGCTGCATCCCGCCATCATTCCCCAGGGGAGCTCCCGCCCATCTTTTAGGCTAACTTCTGACATCCCTTCCCTTTACCAGGAAGCATTCCCCTGGCCCAGTGGCTAGTGAAGGAGCTGCTGCTCTGTCTCCATGGCGCCCCAGCACCTCATTCACATTGGTGATGGACATGGACCATGTTGGCGCCACACCCACACCTCCTCCTTGTCTGTGTCCCGACCCATCTCTGCCAGCCTGTGCTCCTCTGTCTAGGGCCCTCCTGGTCCTGCACAGTCCCCACTTCTGTGCCCGGCAGGCCAAGTGTCAGATGACTAGAGTCGCCCAGGAGCGGCTTCCCATCGACCTATCTTGGGAGACTGTCAGGAAATCCTCCAGCTCCCTCCGCCCTCAGGACAGATGACTCCGAGGTGCAGGTCTCCAGTGAGACTATCCCAGGTCCCCACAGTGGCAGCTGCCTTAATGGCATACCTCGATTGACTCCCTTCTTCCTGGGTCTCCCTCCAAAATAAGCATCTGACCCTTGAATCCTTGCTCAGGCTCTGCCTCTGGGGGAGCCTAAATGAAGGCAGGGTCCCTCATCAATCTGCTGTGGTCCCCGCTCTGAGCTCACCAGGGACGAGCTCCTGCCAGGCTGGCGGCTGTATCCCTGGTCCAGAGCATCCTTCCTGAGCATGTGGCTCAGCTTCAGTCAGTGCCAGTGAAGGAAGCACATGTGCTTGTTTCGCTCTTCAGCCAACAAGAAAATCGAAGGTTGCTGGCTGGCCTGCGGTTTGGGGCCTACTTGTGCCCAATTGTTTGCCTATCAGAGGAAGAATGGACAATTGTTGCTGGAGGCACTGTTATTTAATACTTTCTCTTCCTTTGTGATGTTCTAAGCTTTTCATGGAACTTACAAACTGGTGGGGGCAGGTGGGGTGGAGAGGTGAATACTTGTCTTTAAAATACATGGATGATCTTGACCCTTCTCTTGTTAGAGAAATTCACAAGCTCCTTGGCATTTGGGATCCCTGCTAGAAACATAGCCCTGTAGCCATTATTCCTCTGACTTTAATTAAATTGAGAATGATATCTCACCTGCAAGATAAGCCAAAAAATAAAAAATAAAAAGAGGGAGCGAGCAAAACTTGGAAATGTCCTTGTTTCTCTCTGCTTTAGCTCTGCATTGTGAGCATTTTTTTAAAAGGGAAAAATTCAGATTATTTATTGACTAAAATCTAATACAACTTTCTTCCTTTATTAATAATTATCCTTATTACTATAGAAACAGTACCCAAACAAACAGAAATTACCTGCAATTTTCTCTTGTCAAAGTTCACTCAGAAGAGTGGGCAGCTGAAGTGAATCCCCAGGAATACTTGAAAAATTATATAATTATCTACAAAGTGTACTAATGGTGCTAAAGCAAATGGCTTTTCATTTCTCTTGCCATCTTTGACCTCTTAGCACAAATAATCCCAGAGAGAGAGAGAGAGACTGCAACCACTTGCTCGCTAATGGGTAGGGGTAACTGCTGTGAGATTTGAAGCTATTTCTGGCAATTTCTGATAATTAATTACCTGAAATAGAGCGATGCTATATAGTGGACGGAGAAGAAGATAAGACTGCAGCAGAGATGACATTTGGAGCCTGTTTAGCTTAGGGGAGACGGTTATGGGACAGATGGGAGGGCCCCCAGATGTGGTGTGTTTGCTCTCCTGGTTCTCAGGAAGTTGGCCAGAGGAATGGGGTTTCTGATGACTGGTCCAGATGACTTCTCCCTGGAAGAAAAGTTAAAGAGTGCATTTTCGGTGGTTGATACTATGCTGAGAAGGTTAACAATCGCAGTTGATATGGGGCATTTCAGCAGGTCCAGGGGTCACCACAGAAGGTGAAGATCGCCATCTTGGGGGCAGAGAAATGGAATGACTTGCCGAAAGTAGTTCAGTCTTGATCAAAAATGGATCTTCTGGGCTTTCCTGGTGGCTCAGTGGTAACGCACCTGCCTGCCAATGCAGGGGACACAGGTTCCATCCCTGGTCCAGGGAAATCCCATATGCCTCAGAGCAACTAAGCCTGGGAACCACAACTACTGAGTCTGTGCCCTAGAGCCTGGGATTTGCAACTACTGAACTGATGTACCACAACTACTGAAGATCGTCCACCCTAGAGCCAGTGCTTCCCTACAAGAGAAGCTGCTGCAATGAGAAGTCTGTGTACTGCAGCTAGAGAAGAGCCCATGAAGCAATGAAGACCCAGCACAGCCTTAAATAAAAACAATAAAATAAATAAATGTTTTAAAAAGTAAGACATGGGCTTCAACATACTTCTATTAGACTCTATTAGATGAGTTCAGTTTGTGAAGTGAGTGAAAGTCATTGAGTCGTGTCTGACTCTTTGCAGCCCCATAGATAGTCCATGGAGTTCTCCAGGCCAGGATACTGGAGTGAGAAGCCATTTCCTTCTCCAGGGGATCTTTCTGACACAGGGATCGAACCCAGGTCTCCCTCATTGCAGGCAGATTCTTTACCACCATGGAAGCCTGAGTTCATTTAATTGAATAATAAAAAAATGGGGACAGGGTGGGGAACTTTTTTAAATCAAGCTGAGCCTGCCCAAGTCTTTCTGTGAGTTTGATGATGTCATCAAAACCTCTCTTTCGACAGGTTGAAATTAACCAAGGTTGCGACCACCTCTGTGTATAAGAACCAATGGATCATGAAAGAGGGGAAGCATTTATTCAGAATTCTTTACCTAGGACTCCCTTAGGCTTCCTGGAGAAAAAATATATCAGCTCACACTTGGTTGCTGCCCTTAGGACTCTCAGATTAGCCCACTATGTTCATGCATGAGCCAGTTAATCAGCAGTTCAGCGGTGGCTTGTTTATAAGGAGATGGAGAAGGAGAAGTGGGTTTGGGCATGGTTTTTGGCCCAGGCAGGGGGCATAAGACCTCTCTTCCTCCTGGAGCTGCGACCTGAGTGTGAGATGCTCCTTACTGTCCGCCACAAACTCTGAAGCCAAGAGGAAGTCAAACGCACGTGAAAAAGAACCTTCTCTCTTTAGTGACTGAAGAGGCTCAGAAGTGAGAGGTGTGGAATCAGTGTTGACACAGAGCTGGCTTCGAGTGGAGTGGGGAGGCTGTTTAAATAATAATAAAACACTAACTGAATGGGAAGATCCATTTGTGTATTGGTTTCTGAAATGAAAGACGAGGACTGCTTTGCCTGTAATTGCTGTCAGGCTTTAAGCAAGCCTCTTTTCAGAACTCTCCTTTTCATGCGCCTGTGAAAATTGTTACCAAGCAACAAAGCAGGTCTGCAGTGGTGTGAATTCAGGAGTGATGGACGCGGAGACCTTCCAGCCAGCGGCCACTGAGTGACGCCCGGGCTCTGGCTGGGGCAGGGCCTGTCGGATGTTCAGGATGGGACTGGGGGTGGGGGGGACAGGGTGTGAGGTTAAAAGTGTTATAAATAAATGAACAGATGTGTTTTCACGCACCGCACAGCAGCTCTGTATGGTCTGATTTTTTTTTTTTTTTTGGCTGCAAGATGGTAGCATCAAAGGGTGGGTGTGCATCTCTTTGTGGGGACAGTTATGTCCAGTTCAGCCTTGGCCACCCGAAGCTGAAGGAAAAGTCCTGATTCAGGACTCCAGGGAGACCTGAGAACAGGGTGGTCCTGAAGCCCCAGTTCCCTTTCTGAAGCACAGCAGTGAACTGACCACCAGGGGCCTGGACCCACTCAATCTCCCTCAGGGGTACCTGGAAAGTGGATCGGTCAGGTCTCATCAGCACTACCTTGTCCCCTCCGAGTCGCTGCTCTGACCTGGCCGTCTCTGTGCCTGGAAACCCTTGGAGGCTGACCCAGCTCCCGTGCAGCACTGGTTATACTTGTCTGAGGGTGTCTGAGGCAAGTTCTCTGTTGTTTCTCAGTTGTAATTCCCTCCAGCTGGAGATTCTGCCCTCATTTGGGGACTACCTAGCCTGATTCTTGGTCACCGGCTGCCTTCCCCAGGAGCGATTTTTTCCTCCAACTTGAATGACTCATCCACCGCCTTTGTGGTTTCCATCACGTCCACATACCACAGCTTGTTCCACTGCAAGACACAGCAGTTCACTTGCTAGAAATGCAGACAGACAGATGTAAAATAAGCGAGGCAAACCATGCAAGAATAGAGAGTGAACTTTAAGTGTACAACACACGGTCACTCCTGGATGATGAACATGGAGCAAAAGAAGTCAGATGTGAAAGCGCACGTCCTGTGTTGTTCTGTGGATGGGAATGTCAAGAACAGGTTAGGGTTGGAGGGCTAGAGCACAGAGGAACATGAAGAGTGCTGAAAATGCTCTGTCTACACCTGGGGGCTGGGGGCGGGGGGTGATTACATCAGTGAGGTTTTGGGACTTTTAAGTGCTCTGGACTGTCTCCGGGTAAGTTATACCTCAGTTTAAAAGAAAAAGGAGACCCAAAGTCCCTTGCCTAAATAGAGTAATTTGGTTTGGGCCCTTGGCAAAATCAGAGATTCTCCCCTCTGGGTTGGACTAGTTGACTACCTTGGGGGAGACGGGGGGGGGGGGGGCAGAACTTTCTAGAGATCTCTCCAACCTCAGAGGTGTGGTTCCAGAACCTGCCACAGACCCAAGACCCAAGATGCTCATGTCCCATCATGGGATCTCTGATTTGGATTCTCTGCATCTGTGGAATCAACCAACTGTAGATCCTGTAGGAATAAATGTATTCATTGGAAAAAAAACCTCAGTATAAGTGGATGTGCACAGTTCAAACCCACATTAATAAAGATCCAACTGTAGACAGATAGGCCACAGTTAGATAGATAAATGACAGATAGATGATCGATAAATGATAGATGGGTAGATTGTAGTTGCTCAGTTGTGTCAGACTCTGCCACCCCATGGACTGCTGCATGCCAGGCTTCCCTGTCCTTCACTATCTCCTGGAGTTTGCTTAAATTCATGTCCATTGAGTCAGTGATGCCATCCAACCATCTCATCCTCTGTAGATAGATATAATGGAAGAATGGGCCATAGAGGCAAAACTGAGCAATTAGGGCCCACGAAATCTTACTGCATTCCCGCCTGCACTTGGCCTGGCCAAGGTGGTGGTGGCCTGGACCCGGGCAGTGATAGTGAAAATGAGAAGTGTTCAGAGGCTCTGTGTGTCTCTCAGATAATTCTGGCCAGATTAGCTGATCCACAGGAGGTGGGGTAGGAAGGGGAGAGAGTCAGTGCTGACCTGGGGGGGCTTGTTCTGCAGTAGACACCCATTTCCTCTTGCCCAGTGTCAAGAGCATTTTGGCCTGCGAGATTCCAAAGCCTGGTGAGTTCAAATCCTCCCCAGATGAGGACGATCTCCAGGACAACCGGGACCAAGCAGAGGAGAAGGTGGGTATGTCCACGGGGAAGCTGGCTTCCGTCTCTAGGAGGAGCTGTCATCACGAGTGGCCCCTGGCGGCTCCTGAGTGCAGACACGGCCCCTTTGACATCAGCCTTCTGCAGCATCTGTGGGGAGAGGGGTGGGAAGGGGCGGGGAGGGGCTCCCTTTCTGGAGCGGGCTGTCTTCCCTTGTGTCAGCTCCTCGGAGCCCTGACACCAGGACTCTCCTTGCAGAGCGCTTGATGGAGATCAAAGTGCGCGTGTGCATCCTGTTATCCCAGAGCCTGTCTCCCCCCTGCCACTTTCAACGAGATTTCCGAGTCGTTCCGGGCACCTTCAGAGGAAGCAGTGCTCTCGCTCTGGCTGGCTCATATGGAGCAGCTCAAAGAAAAGCGTCTTTGAAAGCTTCCTCGCCTGTGTACTGCTTCCGTGAGCGCGGCCTGCTTTCCCGGGCTCCTGGCTCTGGCCTGCAACTCTCTGATCCATCTCATTTCCAAGTCCTTTGTGCAGAGTCCTAGCAGCCGGCTCAAATGGGAGCAATTAGCTTCAGTGGGTAATTAGGCTTCTTTGCTGGCACTGGGCTTGAGCTGCAGGACATAATCGACGATTTTTACTTCAAGTCCACTTTGTATCACCTCTCCCAAGCCTGAATCAAATGGTATGGTGTTTAGAAAACCCAATTACATTCCAGGAGCTTCCAAAACACTCACAATATGTTCTAACGAGGCTTCTTGCCATTAGCTTTAACAATGAATCTCTTCCCTATCTTTGCTATTCAACATTTCCCTGTTTATAAGGACTTAAAAGCTGACGCTCTGACACTTTAGCCACCTGATGCGCAGAACCGACTCATTGGGAAAGACCCTGATGCTGGGAAACATTGATGGCAGGAGGAGGAGGGGGCAACAGAGGATGAGATGGCTGGATGGCATCACTGATTCAGTGAACATGAGTTAGAGCAAACTCTGGGAGATAATGAGGGACAGGAAAGCCTGGTGTGCTGCTATCCATGGAGTCACAAAGAGTCAGACACGACCGAGGAACTGAACAACAACAAAAGACAAAAGTATCTCCTGACCACCTTGTATCCTATCACGGGTCAGCCGCAGGGTGGGGAGCCCAGGGTGCTGCTTTAGCAGCTTGGGTCATACATTTCACAAAGGGGAAAGACAGTGAAGATGAGGAGGGTTGTCTTAGAAAGATTTCACCACCCAATGGTCACAAACGGCATTGAAAGGTGATCTTAGGGGTCAAAGAAGAGGGACTTGTGGGAATTCTCATGACATCATTTGCTAAGACCCCACTTCCTACCGAGGTCACCACCTTCAAAGACACGGCTCCTATTAATGTAGAGAAGGACCTTTGCAGAGTCCCTGAACTGTCAGGCATCCCCACCTCTCTCTCCCAGACATTTCTGTTCATTGCTCTTAACTCTGTTCTCTACAACACACAGTCTGGGAAGAAACTCCACAGAGTGGGAGCATTTCAAGTGCTTGAAGGGACATCTGTGACCTTGAGATACCTTTCTCTTGCTAGTCACACACTCCTAGGTCCTCCAAAGGTCCTAGGTCTTTCTGTTCACACCTGTGTCCCCCACTTGGACAGGGATCCACAAGCCAATACAGTGGCTTTATGCCAAGGGAAAAGCATCCATCCAGGTGGGTGAGCTAAGCAAAGGCAGTTCCTCTGGGAGGTAACTGTGGGCATCTGGCTGAGCCAAAGGCAATTCTGTGCTAAGCAAGAAGGAGACCAAGGACATGGGGAAATTCAACCCCCATTCACCCTGATAGTCAGGGTCTTTGGAAGATGCTGTGATCTTGCCAAGAGTAGGCACCATGTTCTGGAAATTAACAAGTGGAAGAGCTGGTTCTCACACAACAGGGATGGACACTCATTGGACAGGCAAGCATCACAGGGATGCACATGAGGAAATAACATCTAATGGCCATTTTCACCTTGGGGTTCATGTTTGTAGAACCTGAAGGATGAGGAAGTCAGGAGAACAATAAGTCATGGGAAGTGCCATCCTGGGGAGGAAGGGACCCCAACTGCTGTGGGACCTGGTGGGGTCCTGGCTCCACCCCTGCATCACTTTGGCCACATGTTTACTCCCCCCTAGTCTTGGTTTCCTTGTTTATAAGACAGGTGGGGGGATGCACACCCACTTCAGAGAGCTGTTCTGAGAGACAAAGGCTGTGATTTCTGTAGTGCTGCTTGCTAAACTTCTATGTCCCATATGTACTTGAGGTAGGATTATGTCGTCTAATTCATGTTTGGCCAAGATTCAGAGCATCTTGAATTTGCACAGAGAAAAAGCACTCAGGAGCATGGTGAGAAAATTGAAGGGCTCTCCTCACTTTCTAGGAAACAATATGGGAGCCAGGTGGATCTGCTAGGGCTTAGAGCAGGAAATAAAAACCACTTGATGGGGTAGAAGGAGACAGTGACTTAATATGAGGAGTCAGGTGTTTGTGAACTGGCTGGACAGGTAGGGAAGTGAATGCTAGTGATGCACAGACCAGTCAGCCAACATAGACCACATATCCTGCAGAAATGACCTGACAGGGGGCTACCACCTCACCTACCTTTGGGAAGGTGGGAAATTGGGAGACCCACCGATCTATTGATGACATGTGGGACTGTGATCTCCCCATCTGGGTGCTAGGCTACGATCATAACCACCAAGATTCTCAGGCTTCATCCTGGCCACCACTTCCTGGAATGCAGGCTGGTGACCTCACACAGACTGGTTGAAACCAGACAGAAGGAGCAAGAATATGCTTCCCTTCCGTGTTCTACATCCCAAGGAGAATGTCTGATAGGCAGAACTAAATACTTGCCACCTGCTGCTGTTTAACAGGCTATCATAAATTTAGCACATGTTGATTATCTCATAGGTTCTGTGGGTCAGGGGGCTTGGCTTGGTTCTCTGCCTTGGAGTTTCTTAGAGGTGGCAAAGAATGTGCTGGCCAGGACTGGGGTTTCATCTGAAAGCTTGACTGAGGAAGGACCTGCTTTCAAGCTCTCTTAACTGCTGGCCAAGTCCATTCTTCCAGGACTGTTGGGCTGAGGTCTCGACTTCCTGCAGGCTGTTGGCTGGAGGCTATGCTCAAGGGATTGTTGGGGCCACCTGAATGTCAGCTTACTGCAGAAGGGACTCTGGAAAACATAGCTTTTGGCTGATCAACATCAGCAGGACAGGAAGCACTCAACAAAGAAGTGTGAATGGATACCAAATTCCAACTGACCGTATTAGTGAGCAGGAGGAAATTAAACAACACCCAGCACAACAAGGAAGACCTTCAGTGGATCTAGTCTGGCAAATGGCCTTCCCTACCTGCCTATCTGGTGACTATCAGGTCTTTGCAGGTCTAGCGGCAGCTCAGAGGCCACTTTCTACAAATGCCCCTGCAGATGAGCCAGGTCAATGAAGCAAGTCACATCCTATTGCTGGAAGGAGCCTTCTGCTCACAGAAGAAGATAGTATATTAGAATCAGTAATAGAGTAGCAACCCTCAGCCCCTCCGTCCAGTCCTGGAGTCTCCACCTGGACATCACTCATCTCTCTGGCCCCAGGATCCTGATCTGATAAACGGGATCATGATGGTCTGCACCTCCCAGTGTGGTGAAGAGCTGATAACCATAGAATTATTAATGTTTTAAAATAATTGAGCTCTTAGCACATTTTCCAGAGCATGGTAAATACTCAAAAAACATCGGCTATTTTTATTTTTCAGCCAGATGCCCTCTTTCCCCAGATGAGGAGACTGGGCCGGAGGGCTAACGTGACTTCAAAGATTTTCAGTAGCCAAATGGTCCTGGGGCTGGTTAGTTAGTGGTGACAGTGAGTCCAGAAGCCAGTCCTGCAGCCTTTTTTCCATAATCTTCAGGAGAGATGTTTCTAATAAAATAGACAATTCTTTCCCCTTTTTAGGTTGGAACATATGAGACTGGATTTTAGTTGCTTTATTATTATTATTATTATTTTTAGGAATTATGTACTTAAGATTTTATGTACTTAAAATTTAGCAAATTTTAAATTTGCTGCATGTTGACTAGTTATGGGAGACACACTCCCCTCTACAGCCTGATTACCTGGGTAGATGTATGGCTGGCTGTCTAGTGTTCACAGAAGTCCCTGGCTCCTTGATCAAGGAAATACCCATGCCTTGACCTCTGCCCCCAGTGGCCCTGGATCTGAAACTAAGATCCTTGAAACTCAGGCAGAGGGACAGCTGGTTTCCTGTGATGAGTCTGCACTAGAGAAACCCAACAATATTTTTTCCTGATTTACTTGAAGATCATTGCTTCCAAACAGGGTTTGGTTTGGTCTCTGTATCCTGCTTACTGGTATTTCTCTGACAGATAAAACCTGGCGTGACTTGGATCCTTCATTAACTAGGCTGAAAGGGACAATATCTATTACTGATGTGCTGTCATAGGCAGGTAAGTCCCGTTGGCCATGGCTGCACTCTGAGACTAGCAGAAGGATGAATAGATAGCAGGCAAGGGTGGCAGCTCTCGAGCTTGGAGGTGACACTCCAGCATCTTGAGATGGCCTTCGAGGCCAGTGAGAAAACAAGTTGGTGTATGACCCTAGGGGGACATTCCCAGTTGAGAGGTGAGCAGGAAGCCCATCCCTCAATTCACATCTAGTGGTTCCAGCTTCCTGGTGACCCTGAAGATCACTCTGGGCAGGATGGAGGATGGGAGGAACTCTTACGTCCACTCACAGAACATTTCACTAGACCCTCTTCTGGGGACTCTCTGCAAGAGCCCCCTGGGGGGGATGACATCACCAGTGTTAGAGTTGGTTGAATTTTTGTGTTTAAAATAAAATGTGTAAGTGTGCAGGGAGGGGGGAGGGTGGTTGGGGTGCACATTCAATTCACCCAGAGTATTAAAACAAGAACCTCACCCAGGCATTTTGCAGGGTCTCTGTTTAATTGGTCCAGGGTGGGACCCTATTGTTTGTATTTTTCAGAACACCCCGGGTGATTCTAATACTCAGTCCAAGTTGAGAGGCTCTGGTACACACAAATAAGCTTGTACTCGAAAATCTCCCCATGTGTACAATTTTTTATTCACTCATCCACAATATTTACTCCTCCTATTTATTACCATGACAAATGGTGACAGAGAAGACCAACACCAGGCCAGTGGCTCATCAAGGAACAGGGCATATCTAGATACCTTCATATACATTCAGAAGGAGCTGGCATTTGCCGAGGAGGCTACTGAGAATGGGAGGAGCTGGATGATTTTGGTTCAGGGCAGGTACATTATGTTTGGGCCACAAAGTGAGAAATTTCACCTTGGGAATCTTGCAATGGAGAATGGTAGCCACTGCCTGTAGTAGGAACCCAGTAATTCTTAAGGAGGCATGGTGGGTTAAGCCTCCCACATGTTGGGTTGTTTGGAGTGATCCCATTATACAGCCTAATGGGAAGATGAGCCAGGATGATAAGGCCTGAATGGGCAGCTGCAAGTAGAATGCCAGCCAGTGTGTTTTCTTTTAGACACTCAGATTCATTTCATTCCTAGTGAATTTTCAGGGGACACGGCAGGATGCACCGACAATTTAGAGGCAGAGCCTGTGGAATCAAATGGATGGAGGCTGACCAACCTATTCATGCTTGGAGGGAGCACCTGGCAGTATGGGGACAGATGGCTTGGGGGAAGAGGAAGGACTGGAGGCAGATGGCTGTGGGTTCAAACCCAGTTTGTCCTGCTTATAGACTCTCCCATGTAAGGCACACATCCTTATCTGCACCAATAAGAATTCTGACAACTGCATCTTGGCATCACAGTCAGACCAGTGCTGAGCCTGGAAAGTCCCAGGTGCCACAGCTGTTGCACAAGAGGTGCTTAATGAACTGTAAACATGCTGGGTTTGTATGAGCTACCTACTGCCTCAATGCTGTGTAACAAACCATCACAACAGTAACAGCTCCAGGGAATAACCATACAGTCTTTTTCCAACCATGTACAGGTTGACTGGGTTGCTCTGCTGATATGACTCAGGCTCAGTGGACTCACTGGAGTTGGCTTGTTCTGAAGTTGGCTGCAGGTGGCTGGGAGCAGCTGGATCAGCCTCCACTCACTTTTTTTTCTGACAAGTTACCCTGAATATGTTGTCTAGGGAATAGCAGGTGTCAAACCATGAAGGGAGATGCCCAAGTGACTTTTCCAGTCTCTGCTTGAGTCACAGATGCTAACATCCTATTGACCAAAAGTCACCTGACTGAGCCCAACATTCACAGGAAGGAACAGTCCTGGGACAGAGTATGGATGCTGCACAGGCAGCCACTTTAGGGCCTTGGAGGCAACCACATTGTCATGGAGTTTGTGGTAGAAAAACTTGGAACTGGGAGATATTCTACAAATTTCATGTCCTTTCTCATCCTGATCTGAGGTTCTGTGATAACCAGTTTGATGAAAGGGTGCACATGCAAGTCATGCAGTTGATGAATGTAACTAGAAGACCATGATGACTAGGTGAGCCTGAAGAGGTGGAAACCAGAATAGAATATGAAGTCCAGAGGCTGCAATGACTCAAAACAAGCAAAATGATAGAATGTCCCTTACAATTGGCCAAAAAGCCTCCTCTATATAAGACCTTTCAGAATGCATCTGTTGAACGTACATTTTTCTTCTGCAGTTTTCTCAACAGTAAACATCGAAATAATTGAGCGTTTGCTGTTCAGAGATGCCTTTTGTGTGAACTAATAAATGTCTTTCCATCTTGTGTTTGGGGGAGAAGTTCAATAAAAATGGTCACAAATGATTAATGCTGCCTACTGCCAAGATGTTAATTGCTTCATTTCAGAGTCTAAACAGTGGGTCTTCCTGGGCAGCCCCCCTCCCAGGACTGAAAGGCTAATCGAGGAACAAAGGCTGAGTGGTACTTGTGGGTGATGGACAAACCCCTAAAAAGAGAAGGATCCTGAGAAAAGGGGGTGGGGTCCTTCTCAGAGCTTCTCTGGACCCCGAGCTTCCCTCTTTCTTTCCAGAAAGCCACTAACCTGTGGGTGGCTTGGGGGGACAACGTGTTGACTTTTTGCCCACAAATCAGTCTCCCTTATCCCTTGAAGGAACTCTCCTCTGCTGCTGACTTTGAGAGTATCATTGCTGGGTTTAGCCAATTGGGGACCAGCCTCCCAAATCTTGACTTCCTTCCCTGGGATGCCCTAACTCATATTTACTTTCACTTAAAAGGGTACGATTTCTTTGGAAGAAATCAACAGTTTCCTCTGCATGCCAGGCTTGTTTTATGACATTAAATGTTTAAATAAAAAAAAAATTACACATGTATCATGAAATGTTGATGGAGTGATTATTTTTATTTTGCATGTGGGGATTACCAATTATAGTTCTTGGATTCTGTGCAGAGTGGAGTGTGTTAGTCCCTGGCCATCTTTCTGGGTGATACAAAGGCCCCCCCACCTGGCAGCTCTGTCTGTGTCATGATGGTCCCAGGAAAAGAGAAGAAAGATGGGGGTTGGGGTGGAGGGAGAACTAAGTGCCCCCAAGGGGTGGGAAGTGGGGAATTCTCTCCTTTATGCCCACTTTCACTCAGCCAACCAGTCCTCCAGGAAAGTCAGGTCCTGTGCCTTGCAATTTCGTGGCCCTTCGGGGTCTGCTGAGTCTCTGGTCATGGCCAGTGCTTGAGTGGAAGTATTTGTATTTAAGCCATTACCTGAAGCTTTTTGATCTCTGACCTGGAGCTCCATGGAAACTCCTTAAGCCTCAGTTTCAACATCTGTGAAATGGGCAGTTGCCTTACCTGCTAGCAATACCTGGAAAACCAAGACAGGGCTTCCGAGAAGGTGTACCATGTCTGTGGACCTCCTGAGCACGTATGCCTATCGGACCCTGGGGCAAGCACTGGCTTCCTTTGCTGGTCTCCTGAATGTGCTGAATTTCCTTTTTAAACAGAGGCCAAAACTGAGGCTGAAGAATTGATGCTTTCAGGCCAGGGACTGAAAGATGGCCAGGGACTAACAAACTGTGGAATTGAAGACTCTTGAGAGTCCCTTGGACAGCAAGGAGATCAAACCAGTCAGTCCTATAGGAAATCAACCCTGAATATTCATTGGAAGGACCGATGATGAAACTGAAGCTCCAACACTTTGGTCACCGGATGTGAAGAGCCGACTCATTGTAAAAGACCCTGAAGCTGAGAAAGATTGAAGTCAGGAGGAGAAGCGGACAACAGAGAATGAGATGGTTGGATGGTATGGACTGACTCAACGGACATGAGTTTGAGCAAACTCTGGGAGGTGATGCAGGACAGGAAAGCCTGGTGTGCTGCAGGCTGTGGGGTTACAAAGAGTTGAACACAACTTAGTGACTGAACAATACTCAGTTAAGTAACTTATAAAGTTCAAAAGCAGAAGTTGGAACCCAGTTGGTCCAATGCAAGAGTTTGCGCTCTTAACGCAGATGGTCAGCCCTAAGCCACTGACTTCTGAGCTGGAGGGGCAAGGCTATCCTTTTCTCACCCTAGAATGGCATCAGTTTGTCTATCAGTTCTCCCCTAACTGTAGATTGACCAGCTAACTGAATTAGAAGAGTTACAAACTCTAGGAATTGAGCTGCTGTCTGCCCATCACCCAAGGATTGCTCATCTGTGCTTTAAACATCACTCCTCAGTGGGAGTGGTGGGAAAAGGCAGCATAACACAGCAAAACACAGATTTAAAAAAATTGAAAAGCTGTTTGTTTTGCCTGGTGAGTGTGTCTGGTGCTGATGGAGCAGCAGCAGGTTCTGAATCTACAATGATTTTCCCGACTGCCTGTTCTCAGCGTGGGAACCTGTCCTTCAGCCCTCCGGAGCCTCTCCTACACCATGCTGTGGAGTGGGGCCAGCAAAGGTGCATGCCTGCCGCTCCAGGAGTGGGTAAAAATGCAAATCCGGGCCCTTGAAGTCATAATCCTGTTGGAGACATCACCTCCAGTTGCCATGGTGATGATTATGTTGTCAGAGGATTATCATTTCCTGTGAAGGATGAGTCCGGAGAACCAGACCAACCTCGAAGAAGCAAAAGACCTTGTTCATAAACAATTGGTCTGAAAATTAAAACAAAACACAAGGAGTAACACATTAGCTGGCAAACGTGTGACACTCCAGATTCTTTTATTCCAAATAACATGGTTTTCAGGTTTTTAAGTTCAAAGCTTGTGTTAGGGGGGAAATTCTTTTAAAAGCCATCACAACAAGAGAAAAAAAGCGGGGAAATTTAATAAGAAACATGACAGGAGAGCAGAGAAAATACAAAAGTTGAAATATAGCAGATAAAAGAACAAAAACATTAAATGGCTTTTAATGAAAGGGTTACCCTGAAAAAATATAACTGAAGGGGAGCAAAAATAATTTAATTATTTTATTACAAAGAGAAAGCAGATGAGCTGTCACTCATAAAATTAATCCACAAATTTGGGCTGAATTTGGAAAGATAGTTTCTGATGCAGACACACGTGGATGGAAGGACCCCATTTTGTCAACTGATTTACATGTAAGATGAATATTCTTCAACAACCCTGTCAGATTATGAATCGATATGAACAATCGAACGTCAGTTAAGCATTAGGTCTAAGAAAAAATCTTTCAAAAGTTAAGTTGAGAAGTAAATGTGTTTATAGGCATCCTGATATTTCATTCAAAAGACTTCATCAGAAGACTGTTCTGCCTTCTGTCCTGTCTCAAATTCAGATCTCCCTGCACACTCTAAAGAGCCAGCTTAGGACCTGGTTTCT